CATATAGGTGTCCCCTGGGCAACTTCCTTGTAAATGGTGAATTCTCTCACACCAGAAGCGATGCTCCTGACACAAAAAAAAATCCCAAATTTGGGAAGCTTCTGAAAAACAGAAAGGGGGGCACTGAAACTGGGGCACCAAAAAAAGCACAGGATTTATCTGAATTGCACACCACTAATAACCATTCTTTGGGAACTTTCAGAGGCTAGTGGACTCTAGCTCCCATCAGCTCAAGTCAACATGGCCAATGGTCAGCGATTGCAGCAACTGAAATCCAACAATCTGAAGCCCACATCCCTAATTGTAATTTCAAGAAAGCACATTGCTTCCCTTTTGGCAAAAGATTCCCATCACAAGTACTCTTTCCCCTTACTTTCCGATCATGGCATGAACCATATGGAAGGAACTATTTCAAACACCAATTGTGTGTGCAACCTGCCTGAAGCCAATGGAATCATAGAGTTGAAAACGACCACATGGGCCATCCAGTTCAATTCTCTGCCATGCAGGATTACACAATCAAAGCACCCACAACAGATGACCATCTATAACAACAAGGATCACACATACGGGGAAAGAGATCTCCAAAATACTACAGATCCCACAACCATCAATCTGGTGGGATATGTTACTTGGCATGGAGCGATGTAAATGATTGATGAGGTAATGTGTATGGACTGATTGTAGTAGCTGCCACCACCCAAGGGAACTTGGGAAACTAAAGATGTTGTTGTCTCTGAGGTAAATCCTCCTATACACCAGCTCTTCCTTTTGGCTCCCTTCAAATGACTGAATTGTAAAGATGTTGAAAATCACTGGAACTAATCTTATAGAATGAATCAATGCTGAGGCTGTTTAAACAGTGAACTAGAGAATAAGTTTATTAAGATATTTGAAACAAACAACTGTCTTCTTACCGAGGCACACAAGCTTAAGTGGTTACAGAGCATAATAATCTTAGTGGTTACTAGATTAGGTTCCTGAACTTAAATGTGAATTAGATCACTTACTCTACCCTGATCCAAGCCCGGTTGTCTCCAGAGTAAATAGCTTCCCTCTTAACAGAGGTCACTAACAGCTAAACTACTCTGATCCCCAGAGAGTAAACTGAGTGTTCTCAATCCAACACAAGCCCCCAGGTGTCTACTTTGACCCTTCTGGCCAAATAGATGCAGAATCACCAGCCCCAAAACTCTCTGTCAGTAAAAATCTGTGCTCACCCAAAAATCTGTCACCCTCTCCCTTCAAAGCCAAATTCCTTCTATCTTTGTGACAATCTGACAGCCTTTTTTCTCCCTGGGCTAAAACTCCTCCCAGCCTGCCTTAGCCAATCCAGAGTTAGCTCCAGCTCCACCCCTCTGCTTTTCTAACACTCCCAAGATGTCTGCCTCCTAGGATTACCTTCACAAAATGGAGGCTGGCTTACTGACATCTTAGGCACCTACTGCAGCCTATGAGGTAAGGATCACCACACCATCCAACCTCTCATTATGGAAAGAGCTGTGGCCTATAAGGGAAAGTAGCTGCTTAAATGACAAAAGAATGTTCAGCAGCAGAAAGAAAGAAGGACAAAAGGAGAAGGAAGGAGAAAAGTCTTGCACCTCAACCTAGGTAACAGGTGAGCCAGTGAAGGCATACCCTCTAAACTTATGCACTCATCATATGGTGCTTCGAAGGAAGAAGATTGGAAATAAGGATCATGGTAGAATGCACGGCAAGTAAAATCATGAAACGGGGACACATGTTCTGTCCATGTTTACATCATGGTCTCAAAAATTCTCTCTTAAGGATCTCTACCTTCCTCTCCTCAGAGATCAACTATCTCATGGAAACCACCTTTCCTCTATTATTTTCTTTACAAATACCTTGGCTAACCTCTGTTTGATGTGCAAATTCCAACCCATCCTGCCATTCCTTCTTGCTGTGTCAGCCCTTCAGGTTCATGTTCAAAGATGTTTTCTTGGTTGGCATGAGGAAGCCTGAACAGAATGCTTCTTCCAAGGTGTTAGGAGCAATTGCTTTCATGTGGTGTGTTTAATGGAGAACCAAGGTTCTTCATCTGGATAAGTTAAAAGGAGCT